GAGACTTTTTCCCCCCCCTCTCCCCTTCCTCCCAAGAGAACAAGAAAGGGGGATTAAAAATATATATATATATAAAAGTTTTCGACTTCTCTCTGCCCCCCTCTCCGTTGCTTTAAATATATTTAAATTCTGAGGGGGGCGCTCAGAAATATTTCTCAGAGCTGAGGCACTAAGATGGCCGCCTTGAAATTATTTTTAAAACAACCCCCCCCCAGCACCGCCACCCCCTCCATGAAGAAAGGGAGAGGGGGGAAAAAATCCCCTTTTAAAACAAAATGGCTGGCTTAATATTTCAGTTTTCACCCCCCCACTCTCCTCCCTGTTACACCCCCATCTCCAAGCCTCTACCCAGAAACCCACAAATTTCTCCCTTTTTTCATAACTGATTAGTGCACAGATTAATAGAGATATTTTCCTTGTGTACTGTGTGTGTGTGAGTGTGAGTGTGTGTGTGAGTGTGTGTGCGCGTTGGGGGGGGCATGAAGGATTTCTGCATAAAACAAAAATGGCTGCTCTTTCTAACTCCCCCCCTATAAAAAAATATTTGAGGGGGGGCATTAATCAGTACTCATGCTCAGTCTGACATCAGCATAAATTGTTAAAGGTTAACTAGTTAGATACTAGTCCAACTAGATTTAAATATTTTTCTTTTCTTTACTAGTCTCTTCCTCCCCACCTCCCTTCTCTTAAAGAAAAGCTTTTTTTTTTTTTTTCTGAATACTTCAGAAGGGAGTGGTTTGATGTGAAGGTTTTTTTTTTTTTTCCCCTTCAGGCATTGAAAAGGAAAAGATGAAATATATGTTTATATATAACTCTGTTTCTACATACCTCACTGAAGTCAAAACGCATTTAATTGTGTACGTATCCTTCAAGTGAGGAGCGGGGCTGGATTTTTCTCCCCTTTCTTTTAAAAAAGTGACAGAAATTCTAGTGACTTTTGGGGGAGAGATATGAATAGATACGATGATTGAGTTTTTTTTTTTTTCCAAAGGAGTCCATGTTTGATTTTCCCCTTTGCCCAGCCTTTTCAGTGATTTATAATTGTTGTAAATTTTATCTGCACTCTTTTCTGCTTTACCTCGTCCTCCCCTCCCCCAATGGCTCAGACTATAAAATTCATCTGACTTGGGAAATTAATTTAGGGGTCAGGAGTACAGATTTTTAGAATAAAGGGGAAAGAGTCAAGTCTGAAAAATTGTGAAATTGTTTTCTCTCTTCTCCCGTTGCAGTATATTTCCCTTTCTCCATGATCTCGGACACTGGTAAAGTAGAAGAAACTGAGGTACGATGAAACAGAAAAGTCTCTGGGACTGAGAAAAAGACAGAGGTAGGGGTTCCCTCTGGAATTTTCATTCCACTTCCTTGGCCCATGATGTCCCACCGTACCCCAGTGTTTATCTCAGAAGTGGTGCCGGGAATCAGATGGAAGGTTGGAAAGGAGTCCTAAAGTAGCTTTCTCATCCAGAGATCCATCAGAAAAGTCCTCTAAAACTTGCCTCTTGAGCGGTGCCGGCAAAGGAAGGAGGGCAAAAAGCTCATTTCTACCCTTTTCAGTCCCTGTCACCTTTCCTAACTAACTCCAGCTTCCTCCCATTCTTTTGATCTCCCTTTGCCTCTTCCTTGCTTCCCCTCCTTTGCCTGGGGGACCCTTTCTCTCCTGGGTTATTTCTCTACCTCTTGAGCAGAGCTGCCAGCAACCCCCCCCCCCCCCCCCCCCCCCCCGCCCAGCAGTGCTCAGGAGCACCTCAGACGACGGGGAATACTGTGCCAATGTTTGCTTAGGAGTCTGGAATATTCTTTATTGATGCACCATCCCCCATATACACACACTGATGCACTTGACCGAGTGAGGATGTCCATCTTTTTCTTGACCTGGCCTTTGGGAGTCTCTCGGCTGGGCTCCTGCGTCGGTCCTGCGCCGAGTCTACCTCTTGTCCCTCTTCTGTTCGATTGTGTTCTGTTCCCTCTCTCAGTCTCTTTGTGCGAGGCCATCTGGGTATCCCCCTCTTTTTGTACCGGGGCTTCTCTGTGTGTGTGATTTTATTTCCTCGCCGACACTGACTCCCATCCCCGCGGCTCTCAGCCTCTGTCACCTCTAAGTGACTTTCCACCTCTGTCTTGTTTCTGTTTACTTCTGTCTTCCGGGCTCGGCCTCCATGTGTCTGTCTCTTCCTCCTGTGTGCCTGGCTCCCTCCTCTCCCTGGCCCCTCGGCGTGTGTCGGGGCGGAGTGTCCCCACGTGGATGTGGGCCAGCCCTGCACATCGTGTGCGCCTCGGCCTGCCTGCCTCGGTGTGCCCCCTCCCCGTGCGCCGAGCACCCCTGCCCGCCCGCCACTGTGTGCCAGGAGCTGCAGGTGCGCGCCCCTGTCCCCACATTCGTCATTCCTTCGAGTGTGCTTTGCATGTGGATCTGCTCGTTTGCTTCCTTCTTCCTCTTGTCCGGGTCCCCCTCTGTCCGCCCACTTCTCCTCTCCTCTTTTCTCTCCCACTGACCTCTCTCGCTTTGCCGTCTTGGATCCTGGCTCCCGCCTGCCTCTCTACCTGCTCGCTCCTGTTATGGTGTCTGCCTGCCTGCCTGTCTGCCCCTCCCTGACTGGCTGGCAGCCTCTTTCTCTGGCTGTCTGTCTGCTTCTCTGGCTGTTTGCCCACCACTCTCTCTCCAGCCATCTGTCTCCCCGCCTGCCTGTCTCTGTCACTTTTTTAAGCCTTCGTCTCTTGGTTTGTCTACCTTCCAGGCCCTGCCATGCTTCCCTATCTGGGTTTGCCTCTTATGTTGCTCTTCTCCGTGTTCCTCCCCTTATGTATGCCTGCTAAGTTCGAGATTTTTCCCTCGCCTCCCCGTGCGTCCGTCTGCTTGCCTGTCCGCCCTGCCCGCTTCGCTGCCGCGGGCTCCCCGTCCAGTGCTTGCCTCGTTCTCCTCCGGCTGCACGTCCGCTTTTGCTCCCTTGGCTTCCTGAAACCTGCTCCCCATCCGCGGCGGTGGCCTCTCTACCCCAGAGCTGTCAGCGACGCCCTCGCCCCGAAGTCTCCGGGCCTTCCTGCTGCGCCGCCCGCCCTGCCTTGTCTCCCTGCTGGCCTCCGCTCGAGGGGGGCCCCACTGCTGCTTGTGTTCCTGGCTCCTCGGGTGGTCGGCCTGCCCCGGCCTTGCTGCCATCTTCCCAGCCTCCCCTGCTCTTGCCGCCTTTTCTTGCCGGCCGGCTGCCTGGCTGCCTCTCGCCGTCCACATCTCCGCCGCTCTTCTTCTTTCACCTTCTTTGAACGTCCCTCAGCGTCCCAATCGGTAGCACACACGCGATGCAAAACGTGTGAGGCGCTAGTAGTGTCCCGTGTCGCGTGGACCTCCCCCATGCCCCTCTCGGCCG